TCTAAATCATCGCTCAAAGTAATTTGTGATAAGCTTAAACCCGGTTTAAAAAAATCTTAGTTCTGCATTTGATGATTCAAATGGACATGAAATCAAATGACTTAACTCACCCAGACTTGGCGAGAAGATTGTCTGCCATTGTCGAATCCCGTTTAATCTATCGATTAAGCAAAAACCACTTTACGCGCTACGAAAACGTTTTTTAATCACTTAATGAAAAGCAGAAGAGCTTTTTATGGTTTTGAGTTAATAATTTGTCTCCTATAAACAAAATAACAGCATATTTTTGTGGCGTCCTATCTTCAACCTGAAAAGTGGCGTTGTGGCGTCTGCGACGTGACCACGCGAACGTCATGACATGCGCAGTATGTACATAGTTCCTCTAATGACTTCCGGTAGGCGTTCGTGACCTCAAGAACGTCTGATGCTTAAGCTCTCTAATATTCCTTGAGAGGTTTTCTCACTACATCCATTATTGGCAACCCCACAATACAGTGGATAAACAAGGTTTCAAAGAAATAAACAAATGAATTACTCAATAGTAATATTAGAATTTTCCTGCTTCACCAAATGTTTTGGAACATAATTACCTTACAGTAAACTTAATCTAACCTTTGTTAAGGTTTATTTCCTCTGATCTAAATTTTTGGGAGCACAATCAAATACAAATAATTTGTAGAAGACAGACCCTGGAAAATCAAAGGTTAGAGAAGGTGGTAAACTACAGATTTGTAGCAGGCCAAGTAACCATGTAAACTACAGGACCACACTGCTTAATTACTTATTACTATGAAACTAAGAAAGCTACCAACACTTTGATTTGATTTTCACAGGACAGTTGTGTATACATGTAGTTCAACAGAATATTAAGGAGTGTGCAAACTCCCAACTGCTGTTGTTTAGTTGTCTAGAATTGTAAGGACATTACATAGGACATTACGTATTTCTGGAGTTCACAGTTTCTGGGTGTCACAGTAACAGTATGGAAGAAATACTTTTGTTCCCTGAGAATAAAAAAAGTAGTCCTTTGTAAAAGTTTAGCAGCATTCTGATTGTTTTCCGAAGATGAAAAGCTGCACAAACGCGAGTCCATAGTAATGTGTAGTAAGTAAAACACAATTTATAGAAATAAACAGGCTATTGATTTTCTTCGAAACCATGGTATACCACAGTTTCGCTACGAAAAGCGTTGCATAACGGCCTACAGACATTGCATGACAAAGGGAAAAGATTTGAACTTCCAAGGAGGACACCTTAAAACAATAAATAGAGCCTTTCAAGAGCTATTTTCATCCCGCTACAAAAGCTTAACTAAGAACATATGTGCTAAAATTTGTATTATGAACTTCTGCGTTACCAGTAAGCCGCTTTTGAAGCTCTAGCTCCCTCATTTCTTCACAAGCCACGTTTAAATGTTTTCCTAACAAGCGACGGCCTCTTCCTCGGTTGCACGTCGCTCTACTTCTTCGTCGCACGGAGCGCGATATATCCAATATTTCTCCTCAACACTACAACAATCATTCAAAGACCCCTCATCGGAAGAAACAGAACCATTAGCGTCGTTTAAAATAAAGAATAGCGACGATTTTCGAGCAAGATCGCTACTGAATTTACTGTTTAGTTCGACAATGCTTCGAAGAAAGGAATAATATGATGTCAAAATGGTGAAGGACGCTGGAAATTATCGTTGGCTCAGTAGTTGTAGGTTCAGCAATGGCGGACGAAATTTAGTGAGTTTTAATCGAAAATGTTTTGGCCTTTTCTTGCCGCGATAGGTCTGAATTGTATTTTTTTCTTTTTCTTTAGGATCTAAACTTAAATTGTCGGCATAAAAAATTTCTTTTGTCTCAGTAGCACTTTAAACATTTTATAACTGCGGAGGCAGAGTCATAAGTGTCCATTAATATACATTCAAAGCAAATTAAAAACTAAGTAAAGAAAGGCCTGTCATCCTGGTCACAGAAAAAATATTCAGCAAGTATACAATACTTACATCTACAAGTCTCTGCCTTCTTCAGAATGGATTAGCATTAAAACAATAACCAGTATATAAATTAGTACATAATTATACTGTTTAGGTTTAGCATAAGTTATTGCTGCTTCTTTCTATGATTGTTTCTTTTGCTTTATCCAGTGGACATTCAAACATGAGCTTTGGGTAGATGATTCAAGAGTTTAGCTGTCTTATTCATTTTGATTACATCTCTAACAATTAAAGATGTACAGTGAAAAGTAAACCCAAAACTAAATCAAAGTAATACTACGGTGAACTTGTGGATATCTTATGCAAAGTTAGAGTATTAGTGAATTAACGAGATTGATTGACATCAGTTAAAATTCCCAATGGAGATAATAAATATCTGTTATTCACCACTCGGGAGGTCCGTATTGGGAAAAACTGTGCCCGACGTCTTGGATACCGCCTGAGGCCGTAGGCGGTACTCAAGACAGAGGGCACAGTTTTTCCCAATACGGACCGACCTATGCTGGTGAATAACATTTTTATTTTTTTCTAACACATAAAAAGTGATTGCCAAAAGAACCCGAATGATGTAGGCTACAGTTACGAGTTTAATCACGGGAAGATCCTCCATAAACTTAACATTTTGTCAGTGAGTGGATAATAAAGAAAACAGACGTTATTCAAATTAAAGAGAAAGCTTTCACCGAAGATAGGGTCTAAAAGTACTTACGAGTGACCACGAGTGAGATTAAAATCAAAATATCTCAGTTTTGTTATTATGACGTCATTACGCAGTCAAATTCACAGCATTTCATCAAATACCTTTTAGAAAGGAGACTAATATTTTCCGCGGCATACGTCTGATAATTGAAAAAAATTCCAAAAAATAATCTTAATTCATTGATCACCGGAAATAAATTTTAGTTAATCGACAACTCGTGTTTGAGCTTTGTCCGATGCCCAGTAATTTTCACGTGCAACCTCTTGAGCTGAAGTTACGAACCCTTCATTGTTTATTTGACCAATCACACGTCACTCTGCAATGTTCAATAACTTGCATTCCCACGTGCTTCATCAGTGTTTTTTTCTTCGAGGCCAGCACAATCTCGGTCGTGAAGTTTTCTTTTCAAATTCCCTCCCATCCCACCCAACACTTTATTTTATTCTGTTTTATTGGACATTGGACTTGCGAACAAATTAAAGCCGTCAAGTAATAATCATTTTCTACGGGACTGGGGTAGGCATTGTATATCTATAATTTTGTATGACTTAATAACTTTTGAAGGCTGTATTACTGTAAGCAAGTTATCTTAAAGTCCTAATAAATTTCTGTGTCAACACATTGATGTCCCTTTCAGTTTGGCGTTTTCAACTCAAGGCGATATTACTTCTATTTAGTTAATTTTTGCACTTCTCCTATGGAGTCAGTTGTTTCTTATTAATAAATCATTGGGAATGGTGATGAAGTGCTCCTCTCGTCACACTTTTTCCCCCATAGACTCGACATCATGTACTCCTGGTGATCACTCGTGGTCACTCGTAAGTACTTTTAGACCCTGTCTTCACCGAAATATTTTTATTTGTAACTGTAACTTAAAAGGCTTCCGAGTAAACTTTGAAACATTTTTTGATAAGTAACTGTCACGATGTGACACCTGTCAATTGAAGCGGAAAAAAAGCGCACGCTTTTGAATAAACAACAGTACTGGTATGACAAACACGCACGAGTTAAATGACCATGCGACGATTTTCTCGTAAAAAAAAAACACTCGGAGATCTTACGGAAAGTCTTGTTTATTTCCAAAGACGATTAATCTTTGAAGATTTACCTCTATTCCGTTTTAAAATGTCACGGAAAAGTCAAATTATAAGTAAATGCAAATGTGTGTTTTGGAGTTGTCAGTCTGCTTATTTGTTTTCTGCAATGGTGTGTGTAAATCGGTTTTTCTTCTACCGAAAAGCTGAAGTCAGAGAGACTCTTTCAAGCTAGACACAAGGGGATTTAATGCGACTTTTATTCATCGAATTCCTTCGGTTACTATTGTGAAATTTACGGTAGAAATGTCCAAATTCCAGTGACTTGCAAAGAATAGGCGAAGGTGTATTTATATATAGAACTCAAAACTTCCCACAACGTTTCACAAACGAACAAATTGTGTTGAAGAATTCCCTGACAGATAATAACGAATGAGAGTCACACTGATTAACGTAATTGTTAACTGTATCTACCTCTCGTTTTAACTTTCTGAGTTACTTTTTTTGAAGATCATTGAATAAGAAATTGTTTTTAAGCCGCCTTTCAATATTTTTAAAAACAAATGTAGTACCACAAAATTTACTTCGAAATCAACTTTTGCTGAAAAACCAAAGTGATTTGAAAGCGAGAGAGAAGAAAGAATTAATATTGTTTATCGCCAAGAGGTCGTGACCAAAGTTTTTGCTCAAAAGCTCTGCCCAGCCGGCAAAATGAAATGTATTAATTTTGTGAACAATTGCAACGAAGCTTGAGATGTTCTGCAAAATTACTCAAGCGAAACGGATACCACCCGCCGTGAGCGGGCCGGATGGGGAGAATACTGCCCGCTCACGAACTGAGAAAAAAATAATGTGCAATACTTACTCTTAAATTCCTGAGTTTCCCTGCATACACATTTACGGATAAATCGAATAACCGAAGCAACACAAATTGTTTTGCTGAAGCACCAGCAACACATGTTTCCAACAACCAAGACAAGAAAGAGCAGCACCAAAACCACGATGAGGCTAATTGTCCACAACTTTAACCCTAGAAAAAAAAACACCAATGATCATTTGCATGTTTCTAGAAAAGGAATTCTACCACACCTATTTTTTAATAATAAATTGTCCAATTCTGCTTTATGAGAAATGTAAATAGTAATAAAACGATAAATCCTTACTGTATGTAAAACATTAAAGATGAGAATTCACACATGGGAAAACACAACTTTGTAACGTTGTGTTTAGTCCTCTCCCAGAGTACCAGACCAAACGTCTTCAAAGAGTACAGAACATGTGTGTAGGTTTCGTGTTAACTAAATTTGCTGGACTCCAGGATGCTAGAAAGTTAGGTTGGCTCACAATCAAAGAGTGTTTAAAATTTAATATAGCTATGCTAGCGCAGAAGTCATTATACAATGAGGACTCTCCACTAAAACTCAACTAACACGTCGTAAATAGATATAGTCTTAGGTCATTAGCTGCACCAAAATTACAACTTGCTAACAAAATTGAGAAGAACACTCTACAAGATCAAGCTGCAAAAGCTTTTAATAAACTCCTGCGAAGCTAAGGAATTGCAGTGACCATGCACTTTTTTCTATAAATCTTAAGAGACACATACTGACGTGCAATGGATAATCTAGTATAGTTTTTATTATTCACTATTTCATCAATTTTGAATTATTGTAAGTATTATGTATATTAGTTGCCAAGAGACACTATGTGGAAGTATGCTAATAAAGGTCATCATTATTATTATTATTATTATTATTATTATCAATATTATTATTATTATTATTATTATTATTATTATTATTATTATGGGAACTAACATAAATGTTTGTTCTAAAAAGTGAGTGGTTATTATTATGTGAATGTTACTGTTGCATGTGTGACCAAATAAAGTATATTCAAGGTTATTGGAAAGCTACAGAGCGAAGAAATAAAGAAACCTTGACTGAGCTACTCTGTTCTGTTGTAAGGTAATTAGGAAGGCTGGCACACAAAAGAAGTGTAGTGAGAAACACAAGAAGTTACCCAACATAAAACATAAATGTAAAACATAAAACATAAACATAAACATAAAAACATAAACATAACAACATAAACATAAAACATAAGTACGATTTATCAAAATGATTGCTAATTTCTAGGCTTAAACAAAGTCACTTACCTTGTGGATGTTTCACTGGATCCACAGACGATATAATTGCAGTATCTTCCTCTGCACCTGGTTAAAAATTGAGATGAATTAATGAAGCTTAACTACAGGCCCGTGACTGTCCTTCCCAATTCAAATAATCTATTTAAAGCTGGTTTTTGGCATCCAACTTGAGTGATTTCTATGGTATGTTATTCTGTCAGATTTCACATGTGCAAATGGAAAATATCACAGCCATGAGATGAATAAAAACTGGAAGTCAAGACAGTACAATAACAAGAACCTTAAGCAGAGGAAAGAGGTATGATTTCCCTGACATAATTTGCATGCTTTTGAATTATGGTTGTCATTGCAGTTATCATGTGTAATTTAATTCAATTCTGAGGTAGTACTTTCTCTTAAGCTTTATGTACACATTCAAGTGATTTACATGTGCACGAAATTTCCATGTAAATTACAAGCAGTGACGTGGCAAATTTACATGCACGAAACCTGTATGTAATGCTGCTATTCCTGTATGACCCATATCTTTATTGTTGAATTAATGTATCAAACTTTCATACTTACAAATAACATTCACATAAACTGTTTGGCTCTGTGGTTCACCAAAACCATTGTCTGCTGTACAGGTAAATGTTCCTGAATCATTCCTGTTGATGTTTGTTACATTCAGCAACTTCCCTTCTTGTACCACACCACTGTTTCTTTTATTAGTCCATGTGATGTTTGGTTTGGGTCTTCCTGATGCTTCGCAGGTTAACAGCAAATTGGCACCTTCAAGAACTGACAGGTCACCCCTTATGCCGGTGACTTTCGTAGGGACTAAGAGCAATAAAAAATTCAAAAATAAACTTCAAGGATAATTGAATTGCAATTGAGCACATAAAAAGCCAGGTGCATCATGACCCCTTTAACATGACTTTTAAATGTTCTTTGCAATGAGCCTGGCACATGCAAACGACGAAATTCACACTTCAAGATTGTGTAAAAAATACAAAAACTCTCCGGGACAAAATCAATTACAACTGCTTCACTATGCACAAATGTCTGCCTTAGCAAATTTGGCAGACCTTTAAGAGGCCACTAAAATTTTTTTTTAATTCTTTCCTCATCTTAAACTCAAAGCACTATTAGTATATAGATTTAGCCAAGCCTAAAAGCAGAGCTCACATTTTTTCCCTTGCACATTTCAAGGGCACAATGCCTTGCCCTGGCCAGGACTCAAACCTGGGTGATCTGACTTGGAGCCCAGTGCATTGACTACTTGACTACATAACTGGACAAAGTCATGGCATTAGCATGCCAGCGGTTCAGTTGACCGTGCATGCCAAAAGTAGCACCTTGTACGGGTTGACACCTGTATGGTCGTAAGTCCAAATTTTTCAGCTTGATTGGTTACTACTACCATTTTGTATAATTATGGGGCTAATTGCTGCATGTGTGCTGTGAGCTCTGCTATAATAATTTTAACAGCTGCATTTCCAAGAAATTATTCTGTAGAACTTCATGTTGAGACCCACAGGAGCTATTAACAAAACTTTTTTGGAAATTATTCCTTTTAGGACTAAGGCCCGCCAAATTGTGAATAGCTAATTATAACAGGTCACCATAAAAAACTCCCATAATGGTTTTTGCAGCAAACATCATTTTAATCCCCCAAAAACATTTCCTAGTTTCAGTTACATAAAGTAGACTGTAAAGTGCAAAAGTTGAAATGTAAAATAGTCCTTGATGGTGAGAAAAAAAGAAGGTTGTGTGTAAAAGTAAGAAATTGAGGAAATCCCACAAGGAATGGTGAGAAAATCTCACTGAAATGGAGAAGGGCTGCTGGTTTTAAGAAATCTTCCCTGGTTGCTGCCAGCAACCATCACAAGGTGCTGCTGCAGTGAGTTCATGCGACTTTAAACTAAATATCAAAATAATTGTCAAGAGGAATTGAATACTGTCATGTAAACTGCTGGACAAATAGTGACCATTTTGTAACACCAAGCAATCTTTAAATGAGGGAGAAGTACAAAAGCAATAGCTGCTAAGTACATTGGTTTCTCCCCGCAAATAGCTTACGAACTAATCAAGGCGGGGAGATCTAACGACAATTTACAAGTATAATATTTATCTACAGATGGACTAAATAAATAAAACCCATGGGAGGTAATTATAACTACCAAATCAAATCACTTTTGAATTAAGCAAAATGTATTAATAGGAGACAGCACCACGTTATCCTCTCATGCTATATTTTGTTTTTTTCTTATCTCAATTTTGAGCCTTTTGTTTCCTGTAATTTGGGTGTTTGACTCACATGGGCCCTCAAATGACATAAGACAAACAAGTAATTACTTTGAACTTAGAAGTCCATGTACCATAAAAAAATCCTTGTCTCACATTCAATAGTATTTGGTTAATTACTTTGAAACATCATCAATTAAACAAACAAAGAAAATTGTTAAAAGGGTTGTCAGCTAAAATTAAAATTTCCAAGTTCTAACTGCATTTAAACAAGACCCAGAGGGCATATAATTGGATAACAGTACAGTGCTAAGGAATAAGCCTTTCTTATAGTCAGCAACACGTTCAAGCTTACCTATAACTTCAACCTCAATTTCTCGTTTCCAACCATTGCCGTCAGGATCAATCAGTTCCAGGGAAAATTTCCCCTTTTCTTTGTCATCAGCCATAGTGACATTAAAAATATCAAGGGAAACACTTCCTGGCATGAACCTTCCTCTAAAGCGTTCCTTCAATTGTGGACTGACATCAGCAGTGAAAATCCCAGCTTTGTTAAATCTCACAACAGTAAGCTCTATATTGAACGTCAGACCATAGTTCCATTTCAGTGTAGCAGGTTCTCCTTCATTAACCTGTACGATGCCAGGTGGGAGAACTTCAGAAGAGTTAGAAGTAGTCTTTCCTGGAGCAGGTTCATACCATGTTACACTTTCACCACCTGAAGGAGAGTTAGACTGCTGTTACAATACAATAATTCAATGACATGAGTTTGATTTCATGAAAACAAGAAAAGCTTTATTTTAATTTTGAGTTAAAACATTGTTAGTTTATATTCAAAACAATACAGCAATCTGCTGCTTTCTATATAAAACTGATCTTAATAATTAAAAGTACAATTCATTTTTAACAGTTCGTGAGGAAGCGGTACTTGACAAATCATGTGATCAGATTGGTTCCAAGAGTGGGCATGAGTATTCTCCCATAAGGTTTGTTGCAATTTTTTGTAAATACATCTTGTTTTGCTGGCTGCATGGGCAGCATTGTTTAGGCAAAGAATTCCATCACAACCTTTACCCAATAAATAACATGAATTCTCTCTTCTCTTCTCTCTCTCAAATCACTGGTTTTTCCAAAAGATGGACTTTTAAATAAAGTCTGTAATTATACTAATCTTTTTAAACAGATTGACATTCCACAAAAAAATCATTTGTAATTAGTAATCCTTGAAAAAGTAGTCCAGTAAGATCAAATACATTAAGATGTGTACAACTAAACGACTTACCATCTTTATAAAGTATTCTATCTGACCAATACATGACTTTTAGGGGTAATCCATCTAGGTACTCCATAGGGTACTCCATGGAGTAGGGCTCCGCGTTTTGTCATCTCCCTTACAGTTACTTAGTTGTCCATTACATCTAACAGACGCTTCACAACAAGCCTAATATTCCCATTTCTTTTGCGCGAAATAATTAAACGGCAAGTATTTATCGTTGCCACCATATAATAAAATATATTGCGTTACAATTTCATTTAAAATAAGGTTGAAACTTTGACAAAAAAATTTGACACTCCACGAATGGCTGTTGCTCCACGGATGGCTGTTGTAAATGGCACCATATCAAGTGTATCAACTTGGATATTAGAACATATATTGATTTGGGATCCTCAGATGAAACTTGGTACTGTTCCGATTGTACTTTTCCATTTAATTTCACCGATTCGTTCTTCGAGGAATCTACTATGGAAGATACCAATGGCAGTCTACAGTCATCACTTTCAGGTTCTACTGACGGTGTGCGAAATATTTTTCCCAAAGCTTTATTCTTAAATGCCAGAAGTATACGGAACAAAGTTTTTGACCTACAAGCATTGCTATTTATGGATTCGTTTGATGTTGTTGTCATAGTTGAGACATGGCTGGATAGTAACTATCAGGACTTTGAACTTAAGCTTGAAGGCTATAATATTTTTCGGAAGGACAGATGTAATAGGCGGGGTGGTGGAGTGCTTATAGCTATCAAGAATCATATTTCTTGTATTCGCAGGACTGACCTGGAGGTTAATTTAGAGATGATAGCTCTTGAAATTCGTCCAAATCCTACTATTTGTGTACTCCTTTCTGCATTTTATAGACCACCGGACGCAGATGAGTTATTTTTGTCACAATTCAGAGAGTTTTTGGATAAATATTCAGGAACTGGTCTTTCAAATCTTGTTGTAACTGGGGACTTTAATTTTCCACACATTGACTGGAATCTTGGATGCCCTATAAAGTCAGACCCTGGAATTAAGGATTTTTGTAGTATTTTGGATGATTTCTATTTGGTACAAAAGAACCTACATGCAACTCGAGATCTAAGAAATCCTGGACCTTCTGGCAATATTTTGGATCTGGTCCTAACCAATAATGACATCTTGGTTGAAGATGTAGCGGTGCATCCGCATGCATTTGACTCAGACCATCATCCCCTTACCTTCAAGTTTCGTACTGAGATGAGAAGGCCTAATAACATTCAGCGTAAGGTATATTGTTACAAAAAGGCTGATTTTAAAGGTTTGCAGGAGACCTTACAATCTATTCCCTGGAATCTAGTTACATGCGATAACTGTATCGATACAGGTCTGTTAAAGTTTCAGGATCTTCTGTTTTCTGCTGTCAATCAACATATACCCCGGATAACACTCAAGCGTCGCTCTAGGCCTCCTTGGATTTGCAATGATATAATGAAACTAATTAGGAAGAAGAGGAAATTATGGAAGCAAGTTAAATCTAATGGTTCACCGGACATATTCTTAAAATTCAAGGAGCTGAGAAAGAAAACAAAGAGACTTATTAATACAAGTTACTACAATTATCTTCAATCTCTGTCTGGAAAACTTCAGGACAACCCTAAACATTTCTGGAAATTTTACTCCGTTAAATCTAAAACTAAGAGAATTCCAGATACTGTAATTTATGATAATGTTTGTTCTACAGATGCGTCTTCCAAGGCGGAACTTTTTAATAAGTTCTTCCACTCAATTTATTCAAAGGATTCAGCTGATGTTAGCTGTCCGACTACAGATGTTGTGAATCCAAATTTGTTACTGAACGTTACAACTACACCATTTGAAGTGCAGGGAATTCTAAGTAGGCTCGACATCAATAAATCACCCGGTGTGGATAATATACCATCAAGAATTCTACAAATCTGTGCGAAGGAATTGTCGGTTCCCTTGTCGCACTTGTTTAACTTATCCCTAAGCTCAGGAGTCATGCCCACCTTGTGGAAATCCGCTAACATCACTCCTATACATAAGAACAATGATAAGGAATTCGTGGAAAATTACAGATCAATTTCCCTGTTACCTATTCCAGCTAAATGTTTAGAGCGTCTTGTGCATACTGCTGTTTACGCGCATATTTCGCCCTATTTATCTGAGTGGCAGCATGGATTTGTGAAGGGGAAATCTTGTGGGTCACAATTGGTTCTCACTGTAAAACAGAGCCAGTGTCGAAA